TGAACTTGCATGTCCGTTCATAGTAACTATCTGGAAACTGCAATATGTTCCATTATCAGCTGCTCGTAAATGTTCAATTTCAACATGCGTCAATCCGAAAATCCAAAAGGTTCAAGACTATATTTAGAAGTCAGTAATAGATGTTCATCAACTTAACATTACTTATTAACATCTACCAGCTTTGATGTCCATAACTGCAATTTTCTAATCCATTTTTGGATAACAAACCAAGAAATTCAAGAGAAGACAGAGAGTTTCTCTTACACACCAAATCTAACCATGTATTGCTCTGCCACTGTTCTGTTTATTACCAATAAATTGTCACCATCTGCAATAGTTGGGAACAGATTATTGCTGATTGTTGGAACAAAAGGCCAACATGCAAAGTAAACGAAAACCTTCATCAGCTAATAGGGAACAGACTATAAAATCACAAACAAAACCAAATAAATCAACATGGTTTTTAAATTTCGTGTATGAGAGATCAAGGATAGACTACTCATTGCTAAGTTAGATATTTATCAAGCAAGAATCACATTGCTGCAACTTACAGTCCAAATAACTGAGCACGATATAACTCAAAATGCATAACAAACATAACTAAAACGTAGTGCAGTTCCAAAGACAATGATCTACCCAAACCTGGACTACAAAATCTCCACCATCCATCAGAATTTTACAATTTAGCAAAATTAAGGTCCCCACAGTTGACATATAGAAATGCTGGAACCAATGATCAAACACATTTTCAATGAGGATATTTACAGAATAATATGTGCAAAAGCTACTTCCACTATAATAATTCAATTGACCCATCACCAAATGCTTCAAGTGACTTCCACAGAGTACATTCAATCAACAATTTAGAGAAGACACTGAAATCAATCGTTAAAAAGTTGGGTGAAATAACATAGCTGCATATCATTAAGTTTACAACTACTTACAGCTAATTGCAAAAAAAATAAACAAATAAAAAGACAAAACTACAACAAGCAGTACCTAGAAATTTCACAAAACATACGCAGCTGAGCATTCATTCATCATTCTCCACTCCTACCCCTATCATCACATCCACCAAAATCGCTCGCTGAAAATTGCATTGCTTATCATCCTTATAGACATCTTATAACCCGACCTAGCCTCCTGGTTAAAGCTAAATAGGACTCTTCCTTGGCCTTCCTCTTTTCTTAAGCACCACTTGCTGATCATTAATAACTTTAACATTCCCACCCTGAGCCTCAACACCAACACCAACACCAACTCCAACACCACCACCACCACCACCAACACCACCACCAACACCACCACTACCAACCTTGGGTCCCGCTGCCACAACACCACTACCACTACCACCACCACCACCCTGAAACATCGGCGGCATCCAATTAGGAAACCCTGACGTAGATGGAGGTGTCGCCACACCATTTTCCGGATTCGCAGCTGAATACCCCATCGGAAAGAACCCCCAGCAACAATAGTAAGCCTCCTTCCCCGGAACCAACGGAGGCAATTTCGGGATTAAGACTGCATGAAATCCTCTTTGACAATTCTGACATCTTAAACAACAATTCTCATAAACCTTTGGATACTCGTATAATATATAACAGTACGGACACGTTGTCCAGAAAGTTGACAATTTTGATCGCTGCTCCTCCTCCTGCCGATTATGATTATTTTTCTTTGTACTGTTCTGCGACCGGCCTCTTCTCACGGGCAATTTACCTTGGTGGGTGGAATCAGAATTTGTTAAATCGACCTTCGTAAAAAGAATTAGCTCGTGATCGTACGGCGATTTCTTCCGTGTGTCGGATAAAACAGCCCAGGCATCGGCCACGAGCTTGAAGGCTCGATCTGCGAAAGGGTACTTGTTTTTGTCAGGGTGGAGGAGCAGCGCGAGCCTGCGGAACTGTTTCTTGATGAGATCCTGATCGTCAGATCGGTCGATTTGTAAGATGGAGTACCAATCGTGATGGTTATTTATGCGCTTGTCCGCAACGAGGAGGACGTCGGCTACGGCTAAGATCTGATCTGAGCCTTCTAACAGAGGTTCGGTTTCTTGGGCGAGGATCGCGAACTCTTTTGACCCGTTAAAATCGCCTTGGCTAAGGAGCTTCTCCGCCACTCCGAGCAAGCGTTCAGCTTCAGCTCTGTTGGAGTTTTGCTCCATTCTTGTTTGATTCTGTTTTCTGGGTGATTTGAAACGTGTTTGGATGGTAAAAAAATTCTGACGTTAAAAATGAAAATTGGTTTCTTTAAATGGCTATTATTAGAGAGGAAGGGTGTTTTGGTCACTATAGGTTAATTGAGAAATCACGAAAATTTTAGTCCTTGAAGTTTGTAGGCTTTTAAAATGATATCATTACTTAAATACCTTTAAATTTAATTTTAATTTTTCCAAATCGTGAACCAGAGTGAAAATTATAATTAAAATAGTTTGATTATAAGGCTAATACAAGTCACAAGAATTGATTATGATTAAGAATATTTATACATCAACCGTCAATTTTTCTTTTGATTATTCAGTTTTTATATAATATTTATCAGGTTTATGAAGCCATATAAACGTCACTATTTAATAGGTGTTACAGTAAAAATGACAGTTTTTAGAACTAGAAGACTTATAAATAATTTCACCAAATTTCAGGTATAAAAATGATTTAGTTTAACCGATAAAATGAGTGAATTTAAGACCAAAACTTATGGCAGTTTCATGTTCTTAGTTTGATTAATTTACTATTTTGTAAATAAGAGAAATATCACTTTTTTGATAATAAAATATTCATCTGAATATTTATGAAAAAAAGTATTGTCATAAGTTCAATTTTTTGTTTTCAGTCCTTGTATCCGGTTTATCTCACGTCCTTCTATATAAAAATATTTATAAGAATTTTTTTTGTTCCTTCAGCAATTGGAATGAGAAATGGGGCATGAACATGAAGTGATGAAGGTACAATTACGAATGTGTTGTGTCCCAACTCCCACGAGAAAGGGGAGATGTGACGTGCCGATATGCGTTCAGCGCAGCAGACGCTCCGCTCGACTCTCGAGATTGAAGAGTAGAATAGGAGCAAATCTGTGGGCTGCTATATTGGCCCTCCATTCATTGCTTTATGACAGAAACCAGCCCAGTTGGGCCCATGCGTCCAGGCCCTGCTAACTTTGGATGAGGCTCTTCTTTTTCGGTTAAGTAATATACTCTAGCATAGGCCAGATACTTGAGAGGTTATGAGCCTCCCTAGTACATGATATGGTCTAGCATAGGCCAGCTCCTTAGAGGTTATGAGCCTCCCTAGAACATGTATTGGGCCCTCGTTTTCAAAACTTACACACTACCACGTTCCGTTGTTTCTAAACAATCAATATGTGAAATATCCCTCTTGGAATTCCTTTGTCCTTTGTTTAGCTGAAATTTACGCTTTTTTGCATCTTTAAAATATTGGTATATATTTATTTGTCCTTATTTTTTAAAAGTATTTTGATATATATATATATATATATATATATATATACTATCCTGAAAATATATATATGTTTTTTTTCTTTTTCTTGTGTTCGAAATAAACAGAATCCATACTTTAAGTCAAGAAAATGTTAAAATATTTGTAAAAGATACATAAATGTTAAAATAATTTTAGAGTAAATGTTATCCTAATATCAAACATTGGAGGGAAATATAATAAGAGGTATATTGTTGCTTCAGAGTTCAGTAATATTATATTGTTGCTTTCTTTATCTTGAAGTACATCCATAACGAAGGTTGAAAGAGAATGAGAGATAAATGTACTTGACATTTTATTATAATGTGTAATATCATCGAAAAATTAAAATTAGAATAATTTTCTAAAGGAGCATATTACGCGTGCACATTGGTGCTGACATCTGGCCTCAGAATAATGGAAATGGTCATCTTGATTACTGCAAGAATCACCATAAAGTTAACAATTAGTTAATTTATTATTAAGCTCCCTGAGCTATCCGGTGGATCGGTTTGAATTTAATTGGTTGACAATAGTTATTTTGACTCGGGTTTTTAAAAAAGGGACACTAGGCACGTGTAAGCACAATATTTGAGTGGTAATGGTAATTATCATTTATCCAATCTAGTGAGGTGTCCACCCGAAGCTTCTTGGTCTCCTCAAATATGGATTTGGTTTGTAACGTTGTATTACTGTAAATATTAATTAACACTTAGCACCATTTTTCTAGGGCATTTATTTATTTCACGAATGGACATCCTTCCTGAGTAAGACGGAATCATGCAAGGATTTCAATAATAAAATTAATTACATTAAGCTTTTACATGTGATATATTTATAATAAGATTAAACAAACAAAGATTTATGTACAAAATGATATGATAGAAAATAAATGTAACAGTGAATATAATGAGTTTGACCTTTTACATTTTTTGTGACCACATCATTTTGTACAAAAATCTTTGTAAGATTTCTTCGTACCTCTAACATTACTCATATATTTAAGATACTATTTGGTTTTTTTTTTTTTTTTTTTTTCCTATCTTTTAAAGGTGGAAGCGAGTGAAAGGGGTGAGAGAACACCATAAAAGAAGTTGATAAATGAAGAATCACGTAACTACTAGAATTGAGATTTAAGGACCGTAATGGATTTCACTTGTTTGTTCCCATGGTCATGACTACTAAGGATGCATGAGCTATCGAAACAAATGAAATGGTGTTGCATATAAATACATCGAATATATTTATAACCATTCAAAGATGAGATGAGTATTATAAAGCTTATATTTTCTTCACATAGAAGAACACAAAATGAACCCAAAAAAGGGCAGGGACGTGGTCACTCCCATTAGTCCCCACCTAGGAGATGTAGAACTACTTTCACTTATACGCACGAGATTCTTACATTTCATTATTTTTCTTTCCAGGATTCTACAGTATCATTATGAAATCTACTATGTATATATTGTATTCGCCAACTACTTAAAAAAAAAATTATTGTTGATGCGCGAATTTAGACACCAACTAGTCGACACGTGCGCAACGTTGATTGATCAAGAGGCACACGTGATTATGAGCAAAAAGAGAAATAAATGCAATGAAAGCCCTTTTAAAGTGGTTCGGATGCTAAGGAAGCAAGTCCTACGTCCACTGATTTGTATTAATAAAGTGGGTCAGGTCGCGACAGCGGACTGACTTACAAAATGATTGACAAGAAAAGTAAATACAAGAGTTCACAAAGAGAGAGAGCTAATTTCAAGTGTCAAACAGCCGAATCCCCTTAATGAAGGGGTCTTCCTCTTTTTATAGTGAGGTTAGTGCAAGTAATCATCAGTAAATCCATGGGTTGGTGTGAATGTCAGGAGTAAATCCGACTTTATGTCACATTTCCCACCTTCCAAACTGATTTTACGCGATTTAGAGCAGGAAAAAGGACACGTGGGAGCTCCATAGCTATTGGCAGGCCTGACGTGGGTCTACCGTTCTGACAGGAGCAGGTCACCCTCCCATCACGTGATCTCTTACGTCAGCCCTTGATTTTCCAGTAGTAACAATTATCATAAATTATTTTTACTGCTCAGTTAAATAAATATGTATTGAAGTTCCTACATGCTTTATGTAAATTTTAGAAGATCCAAGAGCAGGAAGCATGGCCTCTCTCTCGTGTAAAAGTGGAAAGTCAATGCTCTGAATCTGCATGATTGGTATTTTTCCAAAACCAGCTGAAACTGGGCCTCAGGAACCTCGGCTCCGTTTGGTTCACAATTTTATGTTTTTGGGAAAAGTTTTTTCAAAAAAGTTAAAAAAAGTTGAATTGGGCGGGTATTACGATGTAGGATTTACAAATTAATAAAATACTCCTTATGTTTGCTTTTTTACAAAATACCCCTACAATAAAACATTAAAAGTTAACAAAAAACACCCCCAACCCACCCTCAAATACGGACAGCCGGCCACCACCGCCGGAGGGTGGCCGGAGTCGCCGTATCGGCGCATGACCGACTGGATCTTGCCGGTCGTGCGTCGATATGGCATTTTCCGGCCAGATCTACGGTGGATCTGGCCGGCAAAGGCTAGATCTACGGCTAGATCTGGCCGTATTTGCTTGTCAACGATGGCCAACAAACGGTCATCGTTGATGGTTAACGACGACCGTTTGTTGGCCGTCGTTACCTACTGGTTACGGTCAAAGATTTGGCCTTTTCCGGCCAGATCCACCGTGGATCTGGCCGGAAAAGGCTAGATCGGCGCACTACCGGCTAGATTCAGCCGGTAGTGTGCCATCCTACCAGATTCCGGCTATTTTCCGACAGTGATGGCCGGAATCTGGTAAATGTGGATTGTTGGGGTGTTTTTATAATTTTTTTAAAAATATTTTGGGGTATTTAATTAAATTAATAAATTTAAGGGGTTTAAAAAAAGTTGAATAATATTAAAAAATATTGTAAGTTTTTGGGTATTTTACTGTTTAACTTTTTTAGGAATACTAAAAATAGTATTCCCAAAATTCAACCAAACGAAGCCCTCGAAAACTCTTTTTCTTTTGGCTACATTTTGGTCCATCGTATTTTTTATGTTAAACTTTTTTCATTTCTTTTTTCTTTTAACATTAGTTCATATTAATCTTTTTTTTTTTTTACTGTTTAATCCAAGCGTTTAATTGAATGTATTGTTTGTAATTAACTAACGCGCTTTTTTCTGGGGCCACAAAATATAAATACAAATAATGAAAAATATTTATTCGTGGATGGATTTTCTTGAATCTCTCGCTAAGTTTTATAATAGTTTTCTGTTGCTCTCTTAAATTTAAGCAAAATGTATTCCTTTAAATATGCTTTGATGTTAGAATCAAACCAATAACCAATTCATATCCCACACTTGTCACTAGGATTATCATTATCATTCTTGTATCTTTGCTTATACTGCAAAATTTTTAGCCATTGGCATTTTGCTAAGATCATCCTGCACTATATTAATTGTCGGATTTTGTTGTATTTTCAATAAATTAATAAAATATTGACATATAAATAGTTATATTGATTAAGATTTAAAGTTGGAATTCCAATTTAAAAATTAGCATTATTCTTATCATATTCGGTCAATACGCTTAATAATAATGTCGTTAAATAACCACGATTGGATGATCTAGCGGTAAACTATAATTTTTTGGTGTATTACTCAAGAAATCCTCAGTTTAATCTATTTAGATTATTAATAGGAATGACTATTAAAATGATTTATCAGACTGTTAATTTTAGGGATCTGAAAAATTAATTAAATTAAATATGCAAACTCATCTTAATGCTCTGATCATCTAAAAAAAAAAAAAATTAATAATAATATTTTAAATAAAGTGATGACAGCTATCAATACCATCGACAACAACTTCAGTAACCTCTTCTATATTTTATCCATTTATATAGAGCAATTAATATTATTTATATTAATTTTTTAAAGAAAATGTAATAAATATTGAGGCAAGTGAAAAATAAAAAAATAAGGCTACTTTCTATTATGCGGAAGAATAATACATCTATTCATCAGAAAGAAATGGACACGAATCTCTTTATTGGTAAATAATATTGATTTTCTGACTGATGTGACAATAGCCTTTAACAAAAACTATACTATATTAAAGGCATCGACGGTTCTATTTATAGTCTAGTGCAATCTCTATGACATCAATTCTTAAATTTATGCCTTATGCCAATAATAAATTTTATTTTACCCTTATTACGCCTTTTTAAATAAACAAATTATAAAGTTTATTTACCAATGTGTTATAAATCATATGACCGAATATTAAACGACTAGTCAATTATTAATTAAACATCTTACATTCCAGTCGTTAATTGATATAAAAACTTGGCACAAATATTCTGGAATATAAATAAGGTGTCATACAAATAATATTTTTTATTGACGATGTAGAGAATTTCTAATATAAATACATGTACACTTTATCAACATGTGTGCATCACTTAATGTAATTGATAATATATTTTATAATCGAATTTGTGATATAATTTCAAATTAATTTCACTTTTCTTTTTAAAGTAGAAAAATAATTGACAAATTATTAAAAAAAAGGAAAATTTGATGAATTTTAAATATACAAAAATTTGTTCATCAATTACCTTTTAGTGGTCAAGCGGTTCGATAGAGATTTTTTAGTATATTATTTAAGAGGTTTTGAGTTCAAATACTTTCTCAGGTACTAATAGGAGTAGTTAGTAGTCACCGAATCTCTTGTCTAATTGATAGTTTTAAGGTCTTAAGAGATTATTGAAGATACATATAAACTGACCTACGTATCTCTACTCATAAAAAAATTAATAACAAAAATTGTTCATCTATTATGCTACTATTTAGAGCTATACATTAAGTATTTAAATAATAAACTTTAAAAATTAGTATTTTCTAATTTTTATTTATACAAACCTTGAAAACCAATTTATCAATCCTAATCACTAAAATCTAAGGCTTCGTTTGTTTCGTTTTTAGAAATACTATTATTAGTATTCATAAAAAAGTTAAACAGTAAAATGTCATTATTCTCAAAATATTATTCTATATTTTTCAATTTCTTTTAAATCTCATAAATTTGTTAATTTAACTAAACACCCCTAAATATTTTTTTTAGAAATTGCAAAAATACTTTGGCCACCCTCTGATGGTGGTGACCGACTATCCGTATTTATAGGTAGGTTAAGAATGTTTTTGTTAACTTTTAATATTTTATTATATGGGTGTTTAGTAAATAAACAAATATAATAGATATTTTTATTAATTTTTAAATCTTACATCATAATATTTATCTAATTTAATTTTTTTAAAAATTATCAAAATAATGAACCAAACAAACCTAATATTTTATCATAAAAGAGCCATTAGTTAAATCGAATTTGCTTTTTTATTAATTTTAAAAATAAAAATAAAAATAATAAAATAATATTTAAAAAATTTTTCAGGTAAGAAAGTGGCATTAGGGAAAAAAAACTCATAAATGTTTGAGAGTAGGAGGTACAAGTCATTATTGCTATTATCTGGTGGCAGCATGGCTATGTATGTACGGGAAGCGATTGTCCACATAAAAGAAATTAAAAAAAAAACTCTTATTTAAAAAATTAAGTTCGGGTTGATTCATGTCTCATTAGTTGTGTCTTAACCAGTTCTATCTCTCTTCGTATATTAACCTATAGTTATCTTAATTACTTAGTTAAGTATAAATATATATTAAAAAAATGAAGATAATAATAAAAAAAAAAAGATACTGTTTGGCTATAAAAGGGAAGGCAACCTTTCCTTTCTTGAACACACAAGTATGTCTCTCTCTCTTTAAAATCACTTTCTCCAATTAGTTTAGTGCCTCTTGGTAGCTGTGTGAGATCAGTTCAGACCTAACACACCACTCCGAGAAGGTAAATAAGAAACAAACCCACTCTGCCCCCCTACACACTAAAATCTTTAATCTGTCATTCTTTTGTAATTGTTTGCATGTTCATGAGTTATGATTGGTGGTTTTTTTTTCTATTAATTTTTTCTGGGTTTCTTAACCTGGATCTGAACCGGGTCTTTAACTAGGGTTTCTGCTAGGATTCTTTCATAAATTGGAAGAAAATCCACTTCATTTTTACCCCTTTTAGTTCCATTTTATATGTATGGTTTCTTACTTTCTTATACTTAGAAAATGTGAAAGTTATGGGTTGATGATTTTTGGAGGGTGAAGAATGGCGAGAGAGAAGATCAAGATCAAGAAGATTGATAACGTAACGGCCAGGCAAGTCACCTTCTCTAAGAGGAGGCGAGGTCTCTTTAAGAAAGCGGAAGAGCTTTCTGTTCTCTGTGACGCCGAGGTTGCTCTCATCATTTTCTCAGCTACTGGCAAGCTCTTTGAATACTGCAGCGCCTCCAGGTATTTTCCAATTCCATTTTTTTATCCATATTGAAATTCCGTACGATAAATCTATAACTTTTCTTCTTCAACTCCACATATTATTTCGGACCTTTGTCTTCCCGTGTCTGTGTTTATGTGTTTTCGTGTCCTTGTCTTTGTGTTTGTCCGCGCGTGAGAGAGACTCCTTCAAGTTTCCACTCTTTCCCATCACGTTCGATCTCTCAAGCAGCAAGAAAAAAAACTTTACAGAAGGGAATAAAGCAACTTCTTTGCTGAAATTCCATGGTCGCTTTAAAAAAAACGTCGTATTTTGGTTCACACTCTCAGACTTGATTAATTCTACGGACTCTTAAGAGTTTATACTAAGTAAGAGTGAAAATCCTCACGGCGACTTCCAAGATCTTTGTTATCTCCTCCATTGAATTGCATTTTTATATTTTCTGGTCAACAGCAGTCTCGCATCAGACCTAAAACTTTGATTTATATGGTTGTTTGTTACAGCGGGTACAGACTTTGGCGGAGTCTCAATCCCGTTGTGACTTTTCTTGAAATATATACAATTTTCATTATATTCTTAATTGACCTATTATTTTGTCATAAAATAACAAAATAAATATCAATATCATAACTTCATCTCTGTATTTGAGCTCAACTACTTTAAATATTCAACGAATTCAACCATACGATGAATGTACGTACGCCTCTATTTAATTATTTAATTGGTGTCAAGGTGAGAAATATAAATATACATTATAACAATTATGTTATATGTCTTAAATTAAATTTAAGAAGTACTTATTTCAGTTTATTTTTCAGGTCGTTTTGGCTTAAATACATTCCTTATTACCTATTACGTATTTATGTTTGAATACAACTAACTAATCTAGGATACTGTTATGGTAGTTAAGAAAAAAAAAATGGTAACAAATTTCATTAAGTCAATTGTATAAGTATAAAGTAGTTTTCGAAAGGACACAAGTTGAGTGAGGATGCATGGGGATGGGGGATGGTTTAAGGGTTAAATGTTAAGTATTGTATATGTATAATTTTACCCCAAACATATTAATAAATACTTAATTGTTTATTTTATAATAAGGTTTGAAGTTAAATATATTGTTAATACTTATCTTTTCATCAGTAAAATTATAAATAAATAATTTCTGGGTGCATGTTAGGTAGAGTAGTTGTTATTGTGTTTGTTTGTGTTGTATAAGAGGCTTTGGAATTGGTTTTCATCCACTTTTAAGTTCAAGAGTTTGATTTATGTATGAAATGGATACAAGATTACAAGTAATCTGTGTTTGTTTGGCAGCAACTTTCCAGACCTTTAAATTGATGGTTATGAAAATGCTGTTAATTTTTTTTTTTTTTTTTTTGATAAGAATTGATGGTTATCATTTCATGATTTAAAAATCTGCTAGAACTTAATATCATAAATAGGTTAAATAACGAAATGTAACATATGAAACATCTTACAGATCATTCTTTGGTGATGGTTGTATAGTGTATGTTTTGGAGATGGTCTTGTATAGGTTTTTGTTTTCATCCTAACCCAGGGTTTGTCCGGTGGTAAAATGTGCATTGGAAGATAGTGTCCTATATAGGTCTTTTGTCTTGGTTAAACTTTTGTTTTTGATCCTCCTCTTGTAGTAGGTTGGCCGCCTTTATAGGCCTCTTTGTACATTCTTTTCTTTTGTCTATTTAAAGCTTAATTACCCCAAAAAAAAGAAAAAAAAAAAAAAAAAAAGGAGATCAGTCTCATTAAAAAACTGAACAATAATGAATACTGGTTGAAGTAGATGTTACAAGTTTTATTTTAATTAGCATTTTCTATCTTGATAAGAAACAAGGATTTTACTCTGAAGGGAGAGGAGAGGAGCAAATATCAATATATTCAGTGAATTAAAGTTTTACTTTAACTTTGATATAGTCTTGTTCTAATATTTGAACGTTATATTGTCTTCATTATAACTGATTATGCTTTCATAATTCAGCGAGACTAGCTGAAAATCAAGATACATTACTTGTTGATATTGAAAGTTATGATTGATGGTTAAGCATCTTATGGTACATTCAGAAGCATTAATATTCAAACTTATGATTAATGTTCATGAATGTGTCATAAGACCATACGTTTTTTTATCAAATTTAAAGCCTTTTGAGTTTTTGAGAATGTTGGTATCATCCTTATCATTCAAGGTTCCACATGAAAAGTCCTCCTGTATTTTTGGGTTTCCATAGTAGCAGACAACCATTTAACTTTCTTGGTTTCAAAGGGTAGCTGATTTGAATAATGACTGTTCTCATTTTAATAAACATGATTAAGTTGGTCGGCAAAACTGAGCAGGCCAATATTAGTTTTACTTTTTACTTGAATGTGGCTAATAAAGGATTTAACCAAGCTCAAATCAAGCTAGATGTTGGTTTAATTAAGGTGAAAGACTCTGGTTGACCTTCTAAATTAAGCTCGATGGTAGTTCATTTAAGGTGAAAGAGTCTAGCTAATTTACCTTCTAATGAGACTTGTTTGTGCAAGGGTTTGAAAATGTTCGGTTGAGTTTTGGGTCGTTTAGCCTGGACTTGTATATAATATTTGTAAGTTTTTTAAGTTTGAACTTGAGTTGATCAGTTGATCTCATAAGTTGTGTTTGAATATATATACATAAGCTTATTAATAAATAAAATTCTTCTTAAGTGCAAACTTGAGTCAAGTTCTAATAATTATATATATTGAAGATTGATTGTAACCATGTAAAAGTTGTTCAAAATTTATTCTGACCTTACATTAGTCATCAATGAGTCTTATATGCATGAATTTGCTCGATTCTGAACAAATTGAATTTAACTTTCTTCAATTTAAGCCAAAATTTTGTTAGTTTGATTATAAGTATAAACAAGCTTTTAAGAACTTCCATTGCATGTGGCCTTGTGAAGGTACAATTTTGTGGACTTATGGTAGATTTGAGTTTGGAGTAAATTCTGATATTAATTTTGAAGAATAGGGCTCTATGGCCTCAAACCAGATTCAATGGGAAAGGTCCATTTGTAAGGAAAAATCATGTATATTGACACTTAATTGTAAAAGGTGCTAACATGATTAAGAACTTCTATGATACCTTAGAGGTACTGCTTCATCTATATCACTATCCAATATCCTGTTGTTAAAACATTTATGATAAAGATTGACTAGAGAGAATATTTTCATGGTTGGTGTAAATGCATTGGTTGGTTGTATAGATAACTTGGAACCCGAGTGGTATTCTTAATTTTTTTTTTTATATGACTATAGTGAACAAGTAGCTTATTATGTTTCATTACAATATCGCTTGTTTTTCCTATTTCTTTTTGAGTTACCTGTTTATTGAGGTGATAGTTGTGAACATGATCTTGCTTGAGCTGATATAGATAGGGTTTTGAGGAACAATTGTTTTATAAAGATCTTATAAAGATCATATACTATGCGTATTCTTATAATTAATTTGTTATTAATCTTTATTTCTCAGAGCTGCACGTTAAACTTCACCTAAATCTCAAAACTTATTACTTTGTTGGAAGCATAATTATTGTTGATTGCTATAGAAATACATCAACTCTGAATTCTGCCATGAATTTGGGGATAAATATTTACATTTCTAAATTCCGTTGAATGTGATTAACCCTATGACATAAATTATCATATAGACTATTACCATGTCTTTTTGTTTCCATGGTTAAGTCTCTTGATTGAAATTCATGTCTTAAATTTATAAGTTGGTTGATAAATAAGAAGTTGTTGCCTTGGCCATTTGATGTGAGGTGTAGTAGATGAATAAGAAGTTTTTGCCTTTAGCCAAGTTTTCTCCTAAACTGGGAGGTGGAGTCACATTTATAGCCTTTCGGTCAATAAATTTGAATAACAGAAGCTCTTCTCTTCGTCAAGTCACGTTGAAAGGATTTGTGGAAATTCTTCTGTATTCTATGCAGGCCAAAGTGGTTATATTATATTACGTCCTTTGTTAATTGTTAGTAACAGAATCTCTAAGGCATCTTGACACTTTTTGACTCTAATTTTACAGTTTGTTCAGAATCTCTAAGGCATCTAACATTATGTTATAAAGTTGCTAAATTAAGGTTAATGAACTTTGTTATTTAAATAAATTGTATATTACTTTTCATCTCTTGTAAATTTTCAAATGGCTAGGTTTCTGGATTTTCACTTAAATTATCAGTCAATATGTCAGTTGAATGGTTGTATTCTGTTATAACAAACAGCAAATGCTTAAATATATGGGGTGGATGATGGATGATTGGATGTAATGACAGATAACAAACATGTCATTTGGTGAATAGATAGTGCAGTTAGATTAAACATCATTATAATTTTATATAGATCATATATATGATGAATAGGGTCTGATGCCTTCCCAGCTGATGGGATCTTTATTCTAGCAATTGATTGAAACTCCACTTGCCATATATTTTACAGTGTAGTTTCAAACAGTTCAATTTGCTTTAACTAATCCTTTACATGGCAAATTTTGCTATGAGTTCTGACGTGTCTAACATATTTAGTACATACATTTGGTTGTGAAGCATGAAGGACACAATTTCAAGGCATAATCTGCACTCTAATAACATCGGAAACCTTGACCAACCATCGCTTGAACTGCAGGTAATTTATTTGATCAGTTTTGTTAAATTATCATAACTATGTACGTTTTTAAGAGGTTCTAAATGACAAATGGAAAATTACATAGGCATGCCATTAGAATTTCTGAGGTGAATTTTCCAAAAGGCTTGGGGTTCACTAATTTAACTTTTTAATTAAGCATATTTTTAACTAGTTGAGTATTCAAAAACTGCAATGGAAGAGATTTCCAATTCACTTGCATGGGCTAACTTGGCATCACATGTATAAATTTCTTTTTCCCAGTAATTGTCAAGCTTTACATATCAGAACTGACTGGCAATTCTATTCTTATGTAGCTGGAAAATAGCAACCACATCAGATTGAGTAAGGAAGTTGCTGATAAGAGCCATGAACTACGGTATATATTTTAATGTAGTTATATTGTTTTTTAACTTAGGCAAGTTAGCTAAAATTCCTTTATTATTAATATTACCTTTTATAATAGACAAATGCAAGGAGAAGATCTTAAAGGATTGAATCTAGAGGAATTACAGCAACTCGAAAAAATGCTTGAATCAGGACTTGGGCGTGTTCTTGAAACAAAGGTATGTATTTTTTTAATTTTATTGCTAACTAAGTATATATATGTACCATAATTCATGCAGGTGTTCACATAAGTTTTATTTTCCCTATCAGAGTGAACGGATTATGAGCGAGATCTCTTCACTTGAAAGAAAGGTTAGAAGACAAATATTTTCCCTGTTGTTCATGCTCTTTCTTACTAATTTAAAGCTAGCAGTCACTGTTCGTGGTTGAATCAATAGTGTACTAGAAGGATAACAAACAAGTTTCTTCGTAAGGATATATTAATTGAGATCATCTCAAAGTCAGAGAGGAGATATTCATGGAAATACATTATGTTTTTATTGACTTTAAAATTCAATAAATAGATGATATGAAAATAATGTTTATCTATAATACATGAATCAACTAAAATATGTGGACTTTCACTCTTGAGAGTTTTTATTTTTTCATATATATAATGACTTCAATTTTTTGGCATTAAAATTTTCCACGAAAGATTTTTCTATTTATAATATTAGCAATTTTGAAATGTACGTGCAGATTTTCAGTTTGCATTGTAATTTTAAGGACACAGTCATGAGCTATAGCTTAAGTTCTTTAATTTCCATATAATGGTGTGCAATACTTTATATATATATCAAGGCTCTTCGGTTGAAGGCCTCTCCAGTTTGCTGTTGATTATTAAGATATCATAAGTCGAGTTCTATCTTGAGTTTTCAACTTGGTACTATTTGCAGGGAGCACAACTATTGGAGGAGAATAGACAGCTAAAACAGAAGGTATAACCGTATAAGAATTCATTTTGGTGGACTGTTATAATAATTTTATTTATTTCATTTTATTTTAAAAATGGCGAGGGATCTTTCAAATTTGGAACAGGTGGCCAACTTGTATAACGGAAAAAGCCTCGTCCTAGCTGATTCAGAAATCTCAATCCAGGAAGAAGGGTTGTCATCAGAATCTGCTACTAATGTTTGCAGCTGCAGCAGCGGCCTGCCTACAGAGGATGACAGTTCTGATACTTCTCTCAAATTAGGGTAAGCTTAATTATCAGTATAGGGTCATGCATATGTAAATGAATCTTTATCTCCCAATTCAATAGTTTAAGCTTATCACAATGTTTCTGCATTTTGATAAAAGAGACGAGACTGAGAAAGCAACCTTAATATTGACACAATAATTAATGCGAAGTCAACATGCAAGGGTACTGCTGGACATTTTTAATTTTCTTTTGATCTACTTTTTGCTTCTTTTAACTATTTTGTAGGCTTCCCTTCTCTTGCTGAATTGGAGAAGACGAAGTGGATTTCCTCCGATTGTGGCATGTGGGCACATCAAACCTTACATTCTCCCACATGGCCTCCTGTCACAATTTGAAAAATATGTATAGGTGATTAATCCGAATAAGGTCATGATATGAGTTATAGCAAGTATTACTTACATAAAAGCTTAATATATGAATAATGGCGGCCATAACCTTTAAATCGAGTACTCTCTCATTTATTACAATGCATGATATTTTATGAGTATTTTATGAGCATTGTTTTAAAAACCGAACTGGAGGGCAACCTGTTTTGATGATCGGGTCACGGTTCAATCAGTTCAACCGATTGGACCGTCGGTTGGACGGGTGATGTCATCACACATCATGATGATGCTAACACATTTTTAAAAAAACTTTTTTTTTTTTTTTTTTTTAGATTTCTATTTTTTAATAAGACAATAGCAACTTAATTATTGTTCAATCCAACGTGATTCAAAGTTCAAATTCAATAATAATTTTAACATAATTTAGGTATTTGAGTACAATTCAAAGTAAAAAATGATGTATTTACATATTAAATATCAAAATACATACTAATTAATAATAAAATATTTGATGCAAGTATTTTTTTTTTTATCCGTCTCCATGTTGGTTGAGCGTCATCAAAATTTATCACTATCATTATCATCATAACCATGTATGTTGCAATTAAGTATCCACAGGCAAAATTTGTAATCCAAAAGGTAAAGGTCAAACAACAAAACTCATAATTGAATAAACCAGTTGGCAGTTTCAAAAGTACTTTATGACTTAATTGGTATCACCCTATAAGCAAGCTTATTCCATTTTAGCTGTTCAAGATGGATACACCTTATAAGCAAGCTTATTCTATTTTAGCTGTTCAAGATGGATACAGTTGGGAGTGAATGCTTTACTTTCTACATCATATATTAATTTCAAATATTCAATTAACAACTAAATGCAACCCCAACATTATGAAATCAGTCTCATATTTAATATATAGATTATAATAATAATAAAAAAAACAATTAAGCCCCATAACGGCACCTAACTAAGCGGAAGTTGAGCGTTGACTTAATCAGAAAGCTAAAAGTCAATCTTAAACACTAATACCACAAATTAACAATCATACTATCCAAAAAGAGAAAAACAAAAACAATTAGACTATACATAATATACGCATCAGCAAAACTAATGGTCATTCTCAGTTCTGCAATCAAACAATGAAAACACAAACAAACCCTAGCAGTCTTGCATGCTTTACTAGAATGATGAAATAAAAACCACAGAGCAATATACATATATAGTAACATCCCTACACATATAATGCAAAATGCCACTTGAATGTGTTAAAATAAATATTCCAGATATCAGTTGATAAATAATGCTACACTCATTTGATACCACATTATGTATTAATCATCAGAGGCATATATGATGCATAAAAATCAAAAGGATGAAATACACGGTCCATAGACTACTCGTTTGTTCACAGATCCTATATAGGACCTCTTGAATATTTGTAGGATGACATTGCTACAAAAATGAAATTGAAATTAGTGATTATTGAAGCTGGATTGAAGAATGGCGTGTTTATTACCTGGATCGAAGAATGGAGTTGTCGTCAACAAATGGAGCTGTTGCCGTCGATTTCCAGCGACGAACGAAGCTGTCGTCGTCGATTTTCGACAGGGGAGGAAGACGTCGTTGTTGATTTTAGAGAGTTCAGATGCGATTTGGGTGGGATTTCAGAGAGAAGTCTTCGCAGAGAACAGACAATAGAGACGAAGCTGAAAATTTTTTGCAGAGAAGAGAGAAGAAGCTGAGAAATTTGCTTAAGAAACTGAGAAAGAGATGAACTGAACGCGATAAGAAGAAGGCTGCGTGTATTAGGTTTAGGGATTTTTAATTGGACCGGTTTATCAGTCGGTCCGGTTGGACCGACGGTTCGCTGAAAATATCCGATTTTTTAACGGTTTAACGCGGTCCATTGCATTATAACGGTTTTAGGGTTGACTCGAACCGGACACGTGACCGGTTCCCGGTCCAACCGATTGGACCTGCCGGTCCGGTCTGGCTTTTAAAACAATGTTTATGAGTTTTTTTAATTTATGAATGAACTTCCTATAAGTTATTTGTGGTCCACTTTAATTTTGACATTTAACTTTATGTGCACCAAAATATAATAGATAAAATGTATATGTCAAAATATCCAAATAAGGTTATTGATACAAACATAAAAGCTAATTTATACATTAAATGAACTAATTAGTCCCAAACGATTCACATGATCTTTAAATGCTTTAATCAGCAATCCTTTGGTCATGTGATCGGCGAGCATTAATTCCGTACCTTTTGCTCTTTAACATGACCTCTACTAGAAATATATTTTATATTTATATGTTTGTTGTTGAGACTACTATTTTTGTTATTCTTTGAGAAAAAAATGACAGTTATCACAGTAAATCTTTAATAGCCTTGCAATGAGGTTAATAACTCTTAAATCAGATATAAAGTTTTTCAACCATAAAACTTGAAAGCAAAAGGTATTTTATTCATCTCCTTGAACTCCAATGAGTTCTTTGAACACTGTTCCAAATTGAATTTATCTCATTTAACAATAGGAGTTGGTGATGGTAAACAATTTTACATTCGGAAATTTTTCAAAATCTTTTCGATGTAGGTCTTTTGAGATAAACCTAAAAACATTGTAGATCTATCTCTGTGAATCTCAATGCCAATGACATAAGAGGCTTCACCTATTGTTGACCAAATGTTGAAAGTGGCAGTTTTGTAAATAAACACAAATGTTATGCTGTTTGTGTAATTAGACGCAGCTGAGTAATTAGGCGCAGATGTTATACGGTGTAGTTTCATTCTTCTTTATATAATAGAAGAAATTGTAAACTCAATATTAATGAATACTTTACGCTACTGAATCAGCTTTACTCTCTGGTTCTTCCTTTTTACAAATTCTTTCGTTTGTTTTGACTTGGTATCAGAGCCACTGACTAAGTGTCAATGGCAACTGATTCTGGTTCGGCAAACTCTCTTAAAAGCATAGAAGAGCTTCTAAGAGAGTCAATCGATCGTTCTACTTCGCATTTGATCAAGGAATCTTCAAATCGTGGAATTTCAGTTTTACCTTCCAGTTTGCAAACCATTAGTCCAAAGCTCACAAGAAACAACTATCGATTCTGGAGCTCACAGGTTCTCTTCGCTGTAGGATCGCATGAATTGGAGGATCATCTCATTGGTAAAGTTCCCTGTCCTTCTCCTTTACTTGTATCGATTCAGATATTGAAAATGAGTTAGGGCAAATTGAGGTGAACTTAAGTTAGGTGATGATTTGGCTAGTATAAGTGATCCTGCCTATATCTTATGGAAGCGCACAGATAAGTTCCTTGTCAGTTGGCTTTTAGCTTCCATTTTTGAAAGTATGTTGTGGAGTAATATCAAAATGTAGGATATCACTGATATTTGGAATACCTTGCATCTTGAGTTCCTAAATGATTCTAAGGCTAGAGCTTTACACCTTAAGAACCTATTACAAACCACTCAAAAGGATATGAGTTTTCTGATTATGTTGAAAGTGAAGGAAATAGCAGAAAGTTTATCGGCTAGTGGATTGATTGTGGCTGAAGGAGTTGTTGCAGTACGTATTAGATGGTTTAGGACCAGAATATGATGCAGTTATTGTCAATTTAACCTCAGACTTGAGTCCAAAGTTGATACCGTGTCTCTGCAGGAAGCTCAGTTTCTGTTGCAAAATATGAGCTTAGGTTGGAAAAACTTAATACAACAGATTTGTATAACAATTCTGTAAATGTGGCATCACTTCTCACACTGGAACTCTTACTGATGTCTAATACAAACTCTCCTTCCACTCAACATTTCAATACAAAAAACTTACCTAACACACTACAAACATTTGAACACAAATCTATTCCAATTCCTTCACTAGTGTCACTAGGAATCCACACTTTCAACAGAATTATGCCATACCTGTTGCTGCTGCTTACAATGCTGGACTAGAACACCAACCTCAATTTACCTACAACACACAACATTTCACTCAAAGACCTCCCTTTCAACAGTATGGCAGAGGAAGAGGCAGAAACTTTGGGAGGAACAGGCTAATCTGTCAGGTGTGTAATAAGGCAGACATTCCGCTGGCAGTGTTACACAGATTCAATGCTGCCTATAATGGTACCTTTAGCAGTGTCTACACCAACTCACAGTCACCACACTCCAACTTACAACCATCCAATTTTATTCCCCACGCAGTCTGTCTCTCATCATATGTGACCAGAGATACTCTTCTGGTTTAATGCCTTCACTAATCCTGAACTCTCAATCCCAACAGTTTGGGCAGCCACAACTTGTTGAACAATCTGCTGGTCCTATAGGGTCTTTTGCTCAGAATACACAACAGTCCCAGTTTTCTCATCAAAGTGCTGATAATCCGGAAGTTCACTGTTAAATTTCCAAGTCAGCAGCTAGCAGGGGATAGTCAAGCTTTTGTGGCTAGTTCAGATGTCCCTTTTTCTGGCTCTAAATCGGGGTGTTTCGTGTACAATCAGCAAGCTCATCCTCAGCCAGCTTACATTCTGCTCTTGCTACATCTTCCACCCCCTGATCCTGTTGGTACATGGATTCAGACGCAACAATCATGTCACTGCTGATTTAGTCACATGAGTCTTAGCAAGAGTTATGATGGTGCAAATCAACTTCAAGTGGGGAATGGTGAGTTTCTTAACTTCTCATATTGGCTTTACTCCTTTATCTAGTCATCTTCATTCCAAATGTTTAATGCTCAAAAATATTCTATGTGTGCCTAAAATCACAAATTTGCTAAGTATCTCTAAGTTTACTAAGGATAATGATGTAGTTAGAGTTTAATCTGATTGTTGCATTGTTAGGACAAGTTAACCGGGCTACTTTCTGCAAGGGGAACTTAAAGGAGGCTTTTACCAGTTGAATTCTCACCTAGGTCTGCTG